TTATTAAAAAAAAGTTAAAAAAAAAAAAAAAAAATCTCTGTAAGCTGTGCTAAAAGCTGACTAAAAAATTAACCACTATGCCTAAGCAAATTAAACAAGGAACACACGGAGAGGCATGCATTATCTTCAGTTTACATAGATAATTATTCAGCTGATATTCTTTAAGAGACAACAAAATCTCCCAAGGGCTTGTGTTGAGAAAGAGACATTAAAACTCTAACTGCAGAATGGCTTTAAGGCTTAAGAATGTAAAAGGTAATGGTAAGTAAGTCAAGCTATAATGCACATACTTACTTATCATCAGCAAGGCTTGCAATATGCAGTCCATCATGGCTAAAAGATACAGATCGTACCCACCGGTCATTTGCACCTCCAGCAAAAATTGGAGTAGGTGGGGGAAACAGGTGCCTAAGGTCAAACACATGTTTTCAGTGGATATCACAGTCAGTTCAAGAAAACAAAATTACCCAGGTTCAAAGTACATCTGTCTTTGAATATGTTTAAAGTAGCCTTAATGAATATAACTGAGATAACTGAGTTGATACATAATAATTAAAGTGACCTGAAAAGAATTAATCTTTCATGATTTAAGATAGTAAGATTGGGCACGCCTGTAATCCCTGCACTTTGGGAGGCCGAGGCGGGTGGATCACGAGGTCAACAGATCGAGACCACCCTGGTCGACATGGTGAAACCCCGTCTCTACTAAAAATACAAAAAATTAGCTGGGCATGGTGGCGTGTGCCTGTGATCCCAGCTACTCGGGAGGCTGAGGCAGGAGAATTGCCTGAACCTAGGAGGCGGAGGTTGCGGTGAGCCCAGATCGTGCCATTGCACTCCAGGCTGTGTAACAAGAGCGAAACTCCATCTCAAAAAAAAAAACAAGATAGTAAGATTAAGTCCAACTTTGGTTTTGTTTTTCTCCAACAAAAACTAAACATAATAATTAGTACTTCTATAGAGAGTTGGGTCCTGTTAAGTAGCAAGACTTTGATATATCAAGAGAGTCAAATTTACTTTTAGAATTTATATCTAAAGCTCTGCATTAGTCAAGTGCTTAAATAATACCAAAATTTTAAATTACAATAAACTGCAATTTTAGGTTTCATATGTTGGTGATTCTAATTATTCACATGACTTGATAGCCAGAGATGAATTATAGACTAAAATAATTCATGCTGTACCCACCCAAATTCCATCAGAATGTCTCCATTATGTGGATCCCAAATATATACTCGAGTATCGTAAGATGCAGTAGCCAGTAATGCTCCATCAGGAGAAAAGTCACAAGCTACCACATCATGGTGATGTCCTTCTAGTTTCCGTATCATGGTATATTTATCCATATTCCAAAGGAAAACCTGCAATAAAAAGGCAAATGTTATAGCTTCATTCAGACACGCAGAGGAAAAATGGCACATCTTAAACTAAAACTGCTAAATTTAATTAAGATTATATTAAACATAAATTATGAGTAATTTAAAGAATATGCTCAGTGTCATAGTCAGATTAAAATCAGTCTTTAAGTTAATTAAGGCAAACATGCAAATTCTATTTCAAATGTTTCTGTTAAATGTTAATTTAAAAATAAGCCTAAACATAAAATAAAGGCAATGTAACTTAACCACAAAGTTATACTGAAATACATTTATTCCAAAAACTAACTAAAATATATGGAAATAAATAGGGTTAAGAACTACAAACCCCCTTCTTTTTTTCCAGAAACTACCAGATTTTTTAAAAAATATACAGACAGAAAACGTAAGGTTAACAAATTGTTACTCCATTGGCATCTCCCTTTGAGATAATCACTTGTTTACAATAGGCTTGGGTCACCAACTTGAGCCTAGGAAGAGAAACAGATACTGCAAGCAAATAGAATATTCACAGCCAAATGAAATTTCTTTGGCAAACAACAAGGACATGTTAAACCACATTACAAAATGAAAATGCTATTTTATGAAAATAATATAATTACATTTCCATAAATCTAAATTTACATCTTATTTTTCCCAAACTGACCACAATCATTAGTCATTTTAAGTATAAAACAGTTCAATTATTTAAGAACAAATTCACATACAATTTTAGATTCTAAAGATCGTAGTTAACTGTGCAGAATAGCTCTAAACAGGATTCTAATGTTTACTTCATTCAGTCTGTTATTAAATGTGAGCTTGGAGGTTTATCCTAATAAGACAATCTCTCCTCTTGGAGCAAAGCAATTCTTTTTGCTTTTTTTTTTTTTTTTCTGCACAGACACAATACATTATTTCTAAAGGAAAATAAGTACAAATTTTAAACTGAATCAAAGATGTAAGATCTCTCTGGAATCTTAAAGAATTCCAAAAAATAGCACAGAGAAACCATTTGAAAGCCAAATACTTTATATTTAATTGGTTTCACTTGTCAGACTCCCAATTCCATCAAACTGGAAAATCAATTTACTCAGGAGTCAGTGGACTTTACTGTGTGGGAAATTACTTTAAAAAAGAAAAAAAGAAAGAAAGAAAAGCAGAAAGTGGACATCGACCAGCACCTGTGTACGTACAGTACACCTTGCAGCCGAATGCAAGGTTACTTCATCCTATGGTAAAGGTCGCCCCCAGCCCGGTAGCCAGAGATGCCACTCTTTCTGCCCAGCTAACACCACTGTGCGCCTGTGTGTGAGTGGTGCCAGCATAACCTCAATCACACCAATATTGCTGCCACCACCTGTGACAGGGAAAGCAAGAAGCATATGGAAAACACACAGCCTAAAATAGCAATGTCAACATCTAATTTTGTTGTTCTTATGATATGTAAATAACTAAACTGAGTATCTTGTTCTAAGTTCCAAAATTTCTAACTATCATTTTAACATACTCCTTGGCTAAATAAAATGCATTTCAACTAGCCTCCCACCCTCCATTAGTTCAAAGTGTACTGTAATTATCACATGTATTTAGACTTCAATCATTTCATAAATACTTGCAGCTACTGAGATCAATTTAACTATACTAACTTAAAGCTGGTAAACAACTAAAAGAGAGTTCTTCAATAAGCATAACCCTCTTAACAGTCATGTTATTCGTCTATAGGTATGCTATGTAAGACAAACAATAACAAATTTCACCCATAACAACTCTAGGACATACATGAGTGCTATTTTTATTATGTTTTTTAAGTTACTTTTTTTCAGTTAAATGTACAGGACCAGCTGGGACTCAAAACTTTAATAACAGCAAACTGGACCAAAAAAATAAGAGCAACAGAGAAGAAAATAATTAGCAAGGAAATGTCTTAACATACAGACTAGATCTCTTCTACAGCACATAAACTTTTCTAGACTTACAAAAAACGCCCTAATATGCCCTCATTTTCTATTATCTCTAAAGACAATTCAACTTCTCACTTGACAATCAATAACTGTATTTCCTTCATGCAAATTCTCACCCATCATGAAATAAAACATTTAAAATATTCATGACACCGAGCACAGACTTGATAGGTTACTTAGATTTAAAATGATTATGCATACATTATCATAATCCAATTCACAATGAATGTACAAGAACTTTGATACATACTGCTTTACTGGCTCCAACTGAACACAGCATGGAAGAGTCAGGAGAGAATGCACAACTGTACACCCAGTTTTGATGCCCCCTCAATACTTTCATCATGTTTCCTGAACAAAAAGAAGTATCTGTATTAACACTAGAATCCACTTCAAATAAGCAGCATTTCAAAACAGCAATAAATCACAGGATCACATTTATAACTGAAAGCAATTTATCTCTAACAAGGGTTACTGATATATACCAGCTGCTTATTTCTGTAAATTAAATTGTACCAAACACAATCCTGTCCACATGTTTATGTTGTGTTCTACAGCAGACGATATGGTTCGCAAGCCTAAAATATTTAACATCTAGCCCTTCAAGAAAAAGTCTGGGTCAGGCATGGTGGCTCACACCTCTAATCCCAGCATTTTGAGGGGCTGAGGTGGGCAGATCACTTGAGGCCAGGAATTTGAGATCAGCCTGGCCAACAGGGTGAAACCCATCTCTACTAAAAAATATTTAAAAATTAGCCAGGCGTCATGGTGCATGCCAGTAATCCTAGCTACTTGAGAGGCTGAGGCTCAGAATTGCCTGTACCTGGGGGGAAGAGGCTGCAGTGAGTTGAGACAGCACCTCCGCACTCCAGCCTAGGTGACAGAAAAAGTCTGGGACCCCCCAACCCCACCGCATCTATGGAAGGCAGAATTATTTTAGCCTAATCCCCTTATTTTAAAAATAAGCAAGGTAAAGCAACTTGAACATTTTCAAAATGCCTTTTCATGCTTCCTTTCTGATAAACCACAACCCATTCCAAAGTCCTTGTGCATTATACCCACAGTAGACAACTACGCTTAACTATATTAAACTATTAGTTTTACAAATATTTACTGAGTGCCTACTGCATGCCAGGCCCAATGTCAGCACTGACGACGTAGCTGGAAATAAGACAAGGACCCCACTCTCCTGGAGCTTATTTCTTACTAAGCCTACATTCTTAAAACATGTACATTGCTGAAATTAGTTTGAGATAAGGAAGCACCATTCAATATGCAAAAGAAAATGAAAATTGAAAACAAAACAGTATTTCAGTATTTTATTTCAGTATCAAAATAAAAACAGTATTTCAACTGTTGGGATCCCTTTGCACCTCAACAGCTGAGCAGAGAAATGATAAAACACAGAGAAGGTCCTTCATGATTTGTTAATGTTAGCATATTACTTTATTAAGCAATGGTTACTATCCATCAGCTGGAACATCTCCAGATCTGAGGGTTTTGTTTCCTCCTACATTCAATTTAAGCTTTCTTACTCCTAGGCAAGCCTGTTAACCTCTAGCTTGAGCCTGTTGCAGCACCAACAGACCTTAAATGTAAGGTTTTAGTTAAACACGTAAACTCTTTCATTCAGGACTAAGAAAGGGGAAGAGATGCTCATCTCAAATGAAGTAGCATCTCCAAAACTTTGTAAGGTTTTAGAAAAAGGTGAGTACTTGATACCAACATATCTTTCCTTTGTATTGGACAGTAAATCTTACTTTTTGGTAAAAGCATTTCTTAACCTAGCCAACTTATTATGATGCTTATTAATATTTACATGTTATAAATTCTGGTATGTAGGTCACATTTTAATTTAAATTTTATTAGATACTAAGTTACTTCAAGATCTACCTACATTTTCACTAAGCCAATGCAGGAAGTTAATAACCCTCCCTAAGGGGACACAAACACAGACAAGTTCATATAAAACCCTAAATCTGATCCAGATTTGGTTCTCAGATAGTTAATATAGATCTGTGTGGTTAGTTTCGGAATAATTATCAGATCATTTACTTCAAATAATTGTTGGCTCCTATTCTGGGTCACATTTATGTTTTTCTTTGATCTATTCAGGAAAAGAATCAAAGGATTAGGCACAGAAAAGGAACTTTGATCACATGCCATTTTTAAAGTCAAATGCCCCAGATGTTCCCAATACCTCTCAATGGTAGTATCAAGGAACATGAAGCCTTGTTCATAGCCTGGAAAAAAGACATACCATCATCTTTCAGGTCCCATACTCTGAGAGTTTTGTCTCTTGAAGCTGACACCAGGATCAAGCTTCCATCTGGAGCAAAAGTTAAATCTCTGACCACTTCAGTATGATCTACCAAGTTAAGGAGGAGTTTTCCTAAATGTGGGGAAAAAAAGACAGTATTAATATATTTTTATTTTGTTCTTAGCTTTGTTGAGACAGGGTCCCACCCAGTCACTCAGTCTGGAGTGCAACGGTGCAATCTTGGCTCACTACAGTCTTGACCTCCTGGGTTCAAACAATCCCCCTACCCCAGTCTCCGAAACAGCTGGAACTATAGTTACAAGCCACCACCACTGACTTTTTTTTTTTTTTTTGAGATGCAGTCTCACCATGTTGCCCAGGCTGCTCTAAAACTCCTGGGCGCAAGAGATCCCCTAGCTTTGGCCTCCCAAAGTGTTGGAACTACAGCTATGAACCACCACACCGGGCCAACAATATTTTTTATAAGCTTCTACGTTCGAAAAATAGAGTTGCTTACCATTAAAAAAAGATGAATAGAAATTCTTGGCATCTCTTTATTTTACCAAGTATAAAATGATTTATTTATGATTGTTCCCTTTAGAGATTTACTATTTACATTGTTTTTAAGATGGTCTCTTTCCAGGATAGTAAAGCCTAAATTTATTAGAAAAATTAAAAGGGGGCCAGACACGGTGGTTCATGCCTGTAATCCCAGCACTTTGGGAGGCCAAGGCAGGTGGATCACTTGAGGTCAGGAATTCAATACCGGCCTGGCCAACACAGCGAAACCCCTTCTCTACTAAAAATACAAATATTAGCTGCATGCAATAATCCCAGGTACTCAGGAGGCTGAGCCAGGAGAATGGCTTGAACCCGGGAGGTGGAGGCTGCAGTGAGCCAAGATTGTGCCATTGCACTCCAGCTGGGTGACAGAGTAAGATTCTGTCTAAAAACAAAACAAAAAACAAAGAAAAATTAAAAGGGAAGCCGGGAGCAGTGGCTCACACCTGTAATCCCAGCAGTTTGGGAGGCTGAGGCAGGTGGATCATCAAGACAGGCCTGACCAACACGGCAAAACCCTGTCTCCACTAAAAATACAAAAAATTAGACAGGTGTGGTGGCACATGCCTGTTAATTCCAGCTACTCGGGTGGCTGAGGCATGAGAATCACTTGAGCCTCGGAGGCGGACGTTGCTGTGAGTTGAGATTGTGCCACCGCACTCCAGCGAGGGTGACTGAGTAAGACTTTGTCTCAAAAAAAAGGGAAGAAAAATTAAAAGAAAACTGCTGAAATGTAAACAACCTCCTATATCATGTTAATATCAAGAAAAGCACCCAAATTATAATTTTCCAAATCTTTTAGTATGATTTTAAAATATAAAATCAAATTATTTATTTGCTTGTTATTTGCCTGGCCTTGGATTACTCATTAACTGTCAAACTCCCAAAAGATACATGTTATCCCATAACAACTTAGTTTCCAAACATTATCCCAGTGAAAAAATGTATTTACCTTATACTGCAAGAGCTTTGTTTTCTGGGAAAATCTATGTGTTCATCTTATTTTTTTTTTTCAAGAACCCAAATTTTGACTCATTATCATCTATATTAGTGTCACTTGTTATGTTCTAATGTACATGTTATTTTAATGCTCATTTAAAAAATCCTTTACATCTTTGAGTATATATATGCCAGAAAGTGTTTAAGGCAATAAGCAACACATTTATTTTTAATTGCTCAAAGAATTTAACTTCTCAACCTATCTAAACGTTCACTAAACCTTTCCAAAGGTGAGATAATGAGTACTGAAATCTGGTTTACCTTGAAAACCTCTAAGCCATCATTGAAAAAGCATATAAGAAAACACCTTACCATGTGCGCCATAAACTGAATAACTAGTTTATAAATGACAACTAACTAAACATTCCCTAGAAAGCCTTTCCTACTATAATATTCTGTGAACAGTGATGAAGCAATGTGAACTCTATTGTTTTCCTAAATTAAAAGCATGAGCTGAAGAAGGTGCTATTCAGGTCAATCACAAAAACACACCCACATCATCAAATCTTGCTTTTCAATAAGCTGAAACTCTCAAATCCTAATTCCAGTGCCTATGAGCAGTGCCCTGCATCATAAAATAAATTTGCTTTAAAAACTATGAATTCATACCTGTATATACATCCCATATTTTGATACGCCCATTGTTCAACCCTGTAGCAAGAAGTAGCTGATCTTGTCCAAATCTGAAGCGATGCCATTCTATATTTACACAGCGACTCTGTTTTTCTGGAACTGAAGACCCAAAAGCAAGACTCCAGACTATATCTCCACAGTCTATAATATGCTCACGAGGCTTATTTTTCTGACCACCATCACTGTTTTGTCTTGGCAATCTTAAACTGCTTGAATTGGTAACGTTCTTGGTGCCATGTAAGAGGCTGGGGAGAGGGGAAGTCAGATTGAAATTGAATTATTTTTCACTCTGGATTCCTCTGGACATTGAGTAATTACAAATGTTTGTTAAAATAACCTCAGTATGATTATAATGACACTGAGTAACAACAGAATCCTATAGATAGGAAGAAAAAGTTGCTATTTGAACTATGAGAAGCACCAAATAAATTCAGTTCATTAATAGAAATTCTCAGCAACTGAGTAGTAAGTTCAACAATAAAGCAATTTATAGTATAACTTATTTGCCTCCCAATTTTCCTCAAAACCACTGTATTAACTGGGACCCCTTCAACCGAAAAACAAAAGTATAAGTAAGCAGGAAAAAAGAAAAACCAACCCCGTAACTCAAGATAGGTCAAGCTGATACCAGAAAATTGCCTTAAGGGAAAAAAAAAATCCTCAAACCATAATAATTAGTTTCCTATAGGTTCTAGATCTCAAGTAAATATGTAATGAGAACATTAGCGACTATAACCATGAAGGTCTACTAGATACAGAATAAAAATAAAAATAAACAGAAATTTTCAATATAGCACGATACATTTTAGAAAAACTTTTGACAAACATTCAAACTCAATTTACCCCAAGCAGAGCGACCATAAGTCCATTAAAAAAAAAAAAAATTGGCTGGGCTCTGTGTCTCATGCCTGTAATCTCAGCACTTTGGGAGGCCGAGGCAGGTGGATCACCTGAGGTCAGGAGTTTGAGACCAGCTTGACCAACATGGTAAAACCCTGTCTCTACTAAAGATACAAAAAATTGGCTGCTCTGCCTATGGAGTAGCCATTCTTCATTCCTTTACCTTCTTAATCAACTCGCTTTCAAAAAAAAATTAGCTGGGTATGGTGGCAGACACCTGCAGGAGAATCGTTTCAACCCAGGAGGGGGAGGTTGCAGTGTA